CAGATGGTCGTCCTAGTGGAGGGGCTCAAGCTTTTTAATCCCCCACCTTCTAAAATACTCCTTTACCTGAAGATGTCCTTGTATTTTACTTAAGGACAAAGATAGCGATCACCCGCTGAAAATGTGAATGTCTAACTTGAAGGATTATAATGCACACAATGACTTGGCTTTACATCTCTCATTTTTGGAACACTTTGTTATTTTGGTAAATGAGAATTATATATCATTTAAAATTGTCATCATTGATTTGATTAATTTTTTCCTCCTTATGAAGAGCATGAGTTAATAGTCTGCCCCTTTGCTGACATAAGATACTGTTTTAAAAATTACTTTAACTTGTCTAAATCTTGGGGACTGGCTTAATAAATTACGGTATATCTATAAGCAAGGATCATTTATAGCCCATAAAAGTCAGAATTCAAAAGAATACTTAATGAGAAAGGAAAATGTTCATGATACGTCATTAAGCATTAAAAGCTGGTTAAAAAATGTTACGTCTTGTGTGATTCCAAGTTTGTAAAAAATAGATATGCACAGAAAAAAGACAAATATAATAAAGATTTTAACACTGCTTGTCTTTGGAGGATGGAAATACAAATGATTTCTAAAAATTATTTTTGTTGAACTGGGAAATTCTCAGTTTTGTACATGAACAAGGAAGGCTTTTATAATGAGAGAAAATAACTTGTTAGTAAAATTATTTTTACTTTTTTTTTTTCTCCTTGTCTTCCTCGGATCTAAGACTCAGTTCTCTTGATATTAAACACAGAACTGACCAACAGAGAAAATTCTGTGAGCTCACTGGATTGCTGCCCACCTTTTTCTGATGCAACCAGGGAGGTGGGTCAGTCCCTGCCTTTTTTCTCCTACTCTGGGTTCCAGGGTATCAAGAAGGTACCTGATTGACATTGAGCACAAACATCTAAGTACAGAGGTCTGACTGTTTGGGTCCAGACCCTGCTAGATCCAGCTACAGGGGTGCATGCATCTAACTAGGACCCATCCTTGTGGAACTGGTGGGACCTTGGGGTTCTGAAGAGAAGTTCAGGAAGTCATGAGAGGTCTGCATGAAGGAGCCTCGTAAGTACTTAGAAGAGGATCAGGGCCCCAGCCAAACAGACTGGGATTCTCTGAAGGGCTCAAGTCCCAGAGGGATGTGTTAGCAGGCAGAGTGATTAAACAGAACATCCATTTGGCAAGTAAGATAAACCCGGCCTAAGGAAGCCCAGTCAAGAACGGGGACTTAGGTGGCTCTCCAGGTGCAGTCAGGGAGGGGAAGAAAAATGCACATTCCCTGAGTGTCCACTAGGTGGCAGGCCCTTTCTTATACTAAGAGCTGAAGGGTCTGTATTCGCAAGCATTTTCTGATATTCAGGTTTTTAAGAATCACGCAGAGGGCTGGTTAAAAAACCAGATTCTTGGCCCCTTTCCAAAGCTTCCAATTCAGCGGTCTGGGGTGCGGCCCCAGATTCTGCATTTCTAACAAGTTCCCCATGCCGCTAGTGCCACTGGTGGGTGCACTTTGAGCACCACCAAATAAATGCATCATCTCAGACTCTGGGAGAGAAGGAGGTGGGCAGCAGTAGGATGCAGTCCTCGTGGCTGAGCAATCAGTTCAAACTGTGACAAAAATTCCAGGGAGGGTGTAGTGTGGAGATAGAAGGGTGGCTTGGGTCACTTGCTGCTGGTTGGGTCACTTGCCTCTGGTACTCAAGCGGATTGGAACTGTGGGCTGTGGCAGAATGCTAAGTCTCCAGAGCTCTCATTCCAGTTAAATGTGTTACCAGTTAATTTCCTTAGAAAGACTGTAGCAGAGAGAAGTGCAGTTATATGCAGATTAAAATGAAAGCAGTATTCAGGCCCAAATTGAAAACCAAAACATTAACTATGTACCAAAAATAAGCCAAAAGAAAAAAAACATCAAGAATTCTATAATGCACGGATCAGTGATTCTCAAATTATTTGAACTGAAGGACCATTTAAAAATACATCTGGTCCATTATAGTGCAGTGCACGGTTCTTTTGCACAAGACTTTTACCTAGCTCTAGCCATGCATGACTCACCAGGCGAGTTTGACAATTCCTGACTGGTCCAGACCCTGTTCAGTGAGGTGAGTCCACTGATCATGTATTTGAATGTCAGCAGTAATTTGCCACATTGCTATAAAAATTTCTAAAGCTCACTCTTAGTTTCTGTATTTGCATCCATAGAGAGGAATAATAACAATTTGTAGGAGGGTACCCACTCACCAACCACACGTCGAGGTGCACTGATCTGCACCAGCTGTACGGCTGACCTGAGCGATGGGCTTACTGTGGAACCTCCAGCAGGCAATCTGTTCTTTTGGCTCTTGTACAGCAGATCCTTAACTTTTTGTATCCTTCAGGGCCATTTAGTTCTCATCAAGTCAATTTGGGCTCCTTGGAATGGGGCTAGTTGGATGTACTTTTGGCCTCGATGTGATTGCTTCATGCTCAGACATCAAGGGTAATGTCCTATACAGGGTATGCACTTAATGAACACCGATGGGATGAATGCATGGAATGGTAGGCCGGGACTGAGATATCAAGCATGCCTGGGGGCTGCACAGAGATAGCCAGGAAATACATGCCCAGCGTAAAGGGGCATCCAAACAGAACTCTCCACACGGTGATTTTATGCAGGTGGCAGACAAGCAGAGAAGATGGAGAAGAACCAACTCCAAAAAGAACAAAGTGACTAATCAGGTTATTTCTCTGGCCTCCCTGGTGCCTCACTAAATACAGGTGTCCACTGTGAATGAGTAAGATTTAGTTTATCAAATTCATGGGCCATGACAACGTAGGCTTTCCCGTGGCATTTTCATGCTGAACCAAGCCATTGCCTCACGTTCATGCCAAGATGAACCCTGCTGGTTACTCTAGAAACTACCGGAGAGTTTTCCCTAGTTGTTTTCCTTTTAATATGAGAATCTTGAGGAAGGACTTTAATGCAATAATTTAATTATATTTTCTTATTAAACAGTTCTCTTTTAGCGAAGGAGAACTGAATGAATGCATAATGGATTATCAACTCAAATCCACCCCGAAACGTCATGCCCTAGCCCATACTCACCTGGCTTCTTCTCCTTCTCCATTCCTTACCAGGCACACAGTGCAGCACAAGGAATTTATGTGACTTAATGATGCATAGCTAATAATACTGATCACAGTAATAATGATAGCTGTTATTTAGAGAGCCCTTAGGAGAGGTACTATATTAAATGCATGCTTAAATACATTATCTTATTTAATTCCATCAATGATCACATAAGTTTGCTCAAGGACAGAGTGGAAGGGCTAGGATTCTAGCCCAAATCTGTGGTTTTAACCACTGCACTACAGTTAGGGTCTTGGATCCAAATAGAGACTGTTTCTTTTTGCTTTTAAGGTATAACAACAAAAGAAGTACACCGTATTAGGAACTTTGAGTACCCAAGGCCAAGATTTCTTGTAAGTGATAGAGGCATAGATGGATCCTATGAATGAATGAATGAATGAATGAATGAACGAATGAATGAGTGAACATGGGTGCCAGCTGTGAATGAATCAAATTTAGTTTGTGAATTTCTTAGATCATGGGGACACTACAGTTTCATGTTGGTGTTTCACTGTTAGCCAAGGACTGACATGGTTTTGATGCCAGCTCATAAAATCTGAAGATACAATCTGGTTACAAATTCTAAGACTAAATCTCAATTATATCTCAAACAAATTTGCACACACACACACACACACACAAACACATTTGTCTCATATGCTGACTCTTTAAACAAACTTATTTTGTTCTTTTTCTCAGTATCCTTTTCAGTTTCTCAAATCTCCCAAATACTAAAGGTGAGAGGTAGTTTAAACACAAATCTTCCCAAAGAGAACATGTATAGTTTTGACTGCACTCAAATCAGAGCTCATGCCACTATTTTATTATTTTTAGATAATTCTCTTTTCAACAGAAATGATCTACACGCTCAACTTCTTGGGTCAACTGGTAGTTCCAAGGAGCTTTTGATGTGTTTTCAGAAAAGTTAAAGGAACAGCACTTTTTTGACAGGATAAATATAATCATGTGCTTATGTTCGAGTTAGAACAGTATGCAAAAGTCTCTCATGGCTCATACATAGGAGGCTTTACAAACTTTCATTAATATATCTTGGTGAGTGATTGCCAGATTTCCAAATACACAATTTAAAACTTTATCATGAGTCAAAATCCTTCAAGAAGAACCAAAAAGACCTTATTTTCCCTCCATGCTAAATTGAAAAACAATGGAAAGTCACATGAACGTGGACGTTTAAAAACACAATGAATTTACAAAGCAAACATTTTGGGGAGCCCTAAGACAATAACGCGATCAGCACAAAGACATCTGTCGGGTGAGGCAACCTGAGGTAAAGACCAGTTAAATCTAATGCAATCAGGAACTTAGGCCAATTTAACACTTTTTTTATGAGGTGACAACCTCCTAACACCATAATCTTGCCTTTCAGGAAGATGACACAAGGATTTAATGAGTAAAAGAAAACAACTTAAAACCTCTCTTTTGAGCGTGAATTGTCTATTTGGGTTAAAGGTAGTCTTTGAAATCCCATTAGCTACTGGCACAATTGGGAAAAGAGATGTATACACACACACACACACACACACACAAGTAGCTACAGAATGATAGCAATGTCTGTTTCTACTCAGATGCAAAAACAGAGTTAAAGCCAAAACTAACAACCCTTCTGCTAATTAGAGAAATAAAAATGTCTTTTCCCCAAGTGTCCAACGCAACATGCGACTGAAATTAACTGCTTTCCTTTGGGACTCATTTATTTATGTTTAAAAGAGGATTGGGGGATAAAGAAACCTTGCAACAGAACAGTTGGGGAAAACACATGGATACCATACATTGGAATAAATGGAGCTGAGCACACAGTGACAACAGAGCTCTTTTTCACTTGTGGAAACATGATATTATGGTCTAATAAAAATCGAGTTACCTTTACATTTCTTTTCTTCTGTTTGGAAGGTCTGGGCACTTGGGACACTCTGATCGTTCACATCGTCATGGTCCAGATGGAATATCGAGCTAGTCCAAGTGGTCTGGATGAGATGTGGTGACGGCTGTTCATTTTTCAATGAGTTGCGCCTCTCCGCATGGCTCTTCCTATGGAGGCAGGCTTCAGACATTCCTACTAGCTTCCAGTCGTGTTCTCGGTCTGGACAGTGCTTTGGTTTGTCCCAGGCTGGAAGGCCATTTTCTGGAGGGTTGAAAAACACGAGATGACGAGCTGTTGGCATTGTCAAGATTTTGTTGAGTTGCAGTTTTGGAAGGCACGTTGTTTCTCAATTCTTTGGGGCTGACAGTATTCACATGCACCTCCCCTTGACGGCAGTGATAAGATACAGAATTTGTCAGCCTTGGGCATTTAGCCACCACAGTTGGATTGCCTGTCGGAGTAATCAACACATTCCCCCTTATTTTTAGTGCCTAGAAAGACATTAGTTCCTCCAATGGAAAGGCTGTATTTTCACCGGCTAGGCTTCCACAGCAATGGCCCAAGAGCAAGTTTACACCAATTTATGTGACTGCTTAGATGATCGTTTGAGGTCTTGAGGGTCAGGGCTGGCCGTGAACACTTTTCAGATCCTTAGGACATAAAACATCCAGGATTCAGCCTTGTTTGACTTGGGTTTTATCACAGGCTGACCTGAGGGGCACCCTGTTACTTAAGTGGGACATGGTCACGTGGTTCCTCCGGGAGTGACAACTCAGTCCTCCCTACAACCTTCTACTCCCAATGGCCCAAGACAAAGAGACTGGATCTTCAGATAGAAATTTGTAAACAGTTTCAATGTAGTTCCAAATTGACAATGAGATCCAATGAAGGAAAGCAGATAGTCCTTTAGTGGGGGGTGGCGTGAGCAGATTAACAGCCCTAATGATAGAATGATAAGCCCTGAATCTCTTTGGTTGAGGTATAGGCAGTGAATTATTTATGTATATTGTGGTTTTTTCCCCCTATTTAATTTATAGGGAATTGAAGATCTACCCTTTAGAAAATGGGAAGAAATGGAATAATATAATATAATGCAATAATATAATGTAAACTTTCTTACACTAACCTTCCCCGGTGGCAAATTTTACCTCCTTGAATATCTTTACTGTACATGGATATAAGGTAGCAAAAATGAGCAGGCTAATGTATGTATTTGTATATGCATATACATTAAAAAACATAATCCATCTGGTCATCCATATTTCTAGAAATGCTTAGGCTCCTGTCTGTCAAAATGAGAAATATACAATATAAATAGAGTTCTACTTTTAAAGTGATCATATACAGTGATTGAAAGACTATCATTTATGTGTGAATTTTCCTTTCTGCTGAAATTACCAAAGGAGCAAAGATACCCATATTAGAGAGACAAGTCCATCCTGATCTGTGCATAGTATCGGGAATTTTAAGCTGCCTTCCCAACACTTAAAATGACTTTTAAATTATGTAATGCAAGGGCTCAAAATGCTTTAGGTTTTCATAAGCCCTGTCTGTAAATGACTAATTGTTTTCAGTTGTCGATTAGGATGGTTTCTCTAAAAATGTGATCTACTCTCAGTCACTTTGGAGGCTGCCCTTTCCCTTGAGTCTTCAGGTCACTACGTGGAAATTCTAATACACATACACTCCCTTTCTACTCCACGAGGAGACTGTGAACAATGACTACCAAGTAATAATCAACCCATGATTTCTTTGTCACAGTAAATGGAAATGCTGTGGCTTGAAATAACATGGCCAGTAAGCAATAAATCCATGCAAAAAAATTCTATAATGTGACAGCTCTGGGAAATAACATTTGATCTTATTCAGAGAAGAGCCCTGAAAATTCACCCTATGCAAATGGCTAAGCTAGGCATTGTGTGAGGTCATGAGTTCTTTCTCTACATTATTATATGACATTATTCACTGCCTGGTGAATCAGAAACTCTGGATTCAACCATAGCCAGCTCCTGGTGCAATTATAGGCACCTATTCTCCCTATCCATTAAAAGAAAACAACAGATTAAAATCTTGGGAGATTGTGTTGCATTTCAAATTAAACATATCTATGTAGAATCCATTCAAGTTTATTATCCATGAGGGTTTGAGGTTTTTATGAGCTAAATATAAAGCTACTGAATGCAAGAGTTAACTCTGGGCCTAAAGAGGATTCATTTTACTTCCACAGATATGAAAAGCCTTCTGACCCAGGCATGTTTCTATGATGTCTTCTCTATTTTCAGGGACTCTCTAAATCCTCGGTAAATTGTATCCTGTAAAGCTCCATTTTAATGTGAAAGTTATCACACTATTTTGTAAAGCCTCCAACTTTTGATTTTTTCTGCAGAAATTCTTAAAATTTGGTATTAACTTCCTTGATCAAGCAGAAATTAAGAAATATCCCCAAAGTGGATAGTCACTTCTCTCCAGCGAAAGGAGCTAGTGGCCATGCTTGGATGAGAGATGCTGAAAGGGACTCCACCCAAGGGGACATTCCTCCTTAAAGCATAGCCTATTAAAGCTTGCTCAGCATGTCCCCTGAGCCAGTAAGAGCAGGTATTTCTTCTAAGCAAGGGAGGTTATGTTTGGGGTGAGGCAAGGGATAGGATTGCCTTCCATTTTCCTAAGAAAAGAAGTTGAGATGGTTTGGGGGAAAGGGCTTAATTCACAGGAGGCATTTACAGGCTCGTAATTACGGTCTGTAATTCCATTCATGATAATGATATTCAGCTGCTTGATTGGTAGGTTTATTGGTTGGGGCACTGCTGGGAAACCCAGGGACTGAGAAGTCTTGGCTGGGTCATGGGAAAGCTCAAGAGGATTTTATTTAAGGAGGATTCTTGATTCTTATCCTTCCAAGAAGAGGGAGACACATACAATTCCTATTCCATTCCCAAGGAGGGATAAGATACCCACTATACTGAGCCCCTTAAATTCTGCCTACTGAGGATGCTGTTGTTGGTGAGAACCGTAAGTTACCTCTACATGTGTTTACTTGGCAGTACTGATTTTCAGGGGTATCCTGATATTTCTTTGTCTAATGCTTGTATCCCTTGGTTCTCCCCAAACTCAAACCAATGAAGTATGTCTTTGTAAAGAGATTGAAATCTTAAAAGATTAAGCCAGTGATTCCCAAACTTTGGTGAGTGACAATTACCTGAGGTGCTACTAAAGAACACGGAGACCAGGCCTATAGAAGTGGGATGGGCCCAGGGCATTTGTATATTTACTAAGTTCTCCAGATGATTCTGATACCCAAGAGAGTTTGAGATCCACAGGGTTAAGAAAATTGAAGGTGGGAAAACAAATTACTGGCAGGTTTCAGATAAGGGTGCAGAGTCCTTCTTAGGCTCTATTGTTTTACACAGCCTTGAAGTAAAGTTATTTTATAATTAAACAATTCATCAATGTTTTGGGGTCAACTGTGTGAAGATTTAAAAGTCAGATATTATGAAGAGATGCTCAACATCACTCATCATCAAGGAAATGAAAATCAAAACCACAATGAGCTATCCCCTCACACCTGTCAGAATGGCTAGAATAAAAAACACAAGAAACAACAGGTGTTGGCTAGGATGTGGAGAAAAAGGTGGGAAAGGTGCACTGCTGGTGGGAATGTAAATTGGTGCAGCCACTATAGGAAACAGAATGGAGGTTCCTCAAGAAACTAAAAAACAGAATTGTCATATGATCCAGTAATCCTACTACTGGGTACTTACCCAAAGAAAACACACTTATTAGAAAAGATATAAGTACAATATATTACTTGCAAAAGCCAAGATATGGAAGCAACCTAAGTGTTCATCGATAGATGAATGAATAAAGAAGTGGTGTGTATGCACACACACACACACACAGGAATATTACACAGCCATAAAAAAGGATGAGATCTTGCTATTTGCAACAACATAAATGGACCTAGAGGATATTATGCTAAGTGAAATAAATCAGAGAGAGCAAACTGATGGTTGCCAGAGGAGAGGAGGGTGTGGGGTGGGTAAAATGGGTGAAGGGGAGTGGGAGGTACAGGCTTCCAGTTATGGAATGAATAAGCCATGGGGATGAAGGTCCAGCACAGGGAATATAGTTGATGGTATTGTAGTAGTGCTGTGTGATGACAGATGGTAGCTACACTTGTGGTGAGCAGAGCAGAAAATGTAGATTTGTCAAATCACTATGTTGGACACCTGAACTAACATAACATTGTGTGTCAACTCTATTTCAATAAAAATGTCGGATACTAATTGGATGTTCTCTTATAGATCGGGGGTATGGATGTAAATAAGTGTTCACCTAAAAAGTTTGTTGTCCTGGGCATTATCTGGGACACAATGTGCACAGTAGTAGAAATACATTTTTTTTAAAGGAGGATTCTACAAATGATCATGTTATTCCCATGAAGTATGAATCTTTGCTCTTTAATGGATCCCAGCTAATACCTGGCTTTTGATACTTCATAATTCTAGGCATCAAGACAATTAAACAATTTGTCAGTTATGATGCAAATTAATAACAAAATTAAAGGTAATAACTAGATAGGAACATGTGAACTGTTACTAAAATAACTAGACGCATCCTGGCCTGTTTCTCAAGAGAGTTTAGAATCAAATGATTGAATTTTTGTTAGATGATTATAATTCTTTTGGCTTTGAATGACACAACCCTGGTCTACAAAGTTATTTTGCAAAAAGAAACAAACCTAAATCTCATTAACATAACTATGAACAACCTATCTCTGGAAATTACATTAAATATGATAGAAAAGAAGTCCGTCCATCAAAAAAGGGAGAATTATATGAAAATATTCAAGTATTTCAGGACACAAAAGTGAGCCGATACCTTAGAAATGCACTAAGGCAAAGGAAATAGGCTTATGACCAAATGGTCAGAGAGGGTCAGCTGAGTGGGCTGGGATTTCATGGCACTCATTATAGGAGTGTTTAGTTTGCATTAAAGGCCATTAGTTTTAGGCATTGAGACCCCAAACCATACTCTGTATTAGGGGGATGTATATATGATATGCTTTGCAAGCCCAGGGAGTGTGTAGAATTATCATTGGATAGCTCAGGTTATTAGCATGATGTCTCTAATTTCCATTCTAATTTTTTATTCAGGCCCGTAAGTTTTAGCTTCACCAAATTCTCAAACTATGTACATATCAATTGATTTTTATTTGTGGAGTCACGCAGAAGAGGAGACTAATGCTTGGCTGAGCATTCACT